AGGCAGGATATTTCAGTAAAAACATGAAATTTTTGGGGCAATATGTTTTCTCGAATATATTCTTTTTGGCGTATGGAGACGCACCGAGATAACTATTTCATAATTTAGCTTTTACCGCTCCCATTCCATAATGTGTAACTAGTTCTACAAAAGATCAATCCTATTTGATAAGGTCATAATGACTGAAACATTCCCTCAATGGTTTGCGCAATACTAATCACTCGGTGGAAAGAACGGGGGCAGTTCTCTGTCTCATAAACGAAAAATCAACTCTAGCATGTTTTGGTGGAATGTGGAAAACCCTTTGAAATATTCTATTTCCCTGTGGAGTATTTGCTAACACCCAATCTATGGACATTTCTAGTGCCATTAGGGAACCCCATTCCCAATCAAACGTAAGGCTGGCCTGTTCCGCATTTTCAGCATGGCAGCATTTTACCGATTTGGGCAGATTTACCTTTTGGTGCCAGCACTTTGCACCATGTAATTCTATCTATTCCAGGGATCATGATCACTTTCACTGGCATACTGTTCTCATCCTGGGCTTCGTAATTGGCACCAAATGTCAAGAGGCCAGTGATTGTTCCATTTATGGCGAGTGAACTGCTAAATAGCAAAGCATACGAATCTGCCCCAATTTGATTTAATATCCAACCAGAATTTGAATGTTCTTCCGTACCTTTTCAGCTTAATGCGGGATCGCACATTTTAAATCCCTTCCTTTTTGAGTGGTCTTTTGAAAGTCTTTTCAGATGAAACCTCAAGTGGTGAGCTACCAGTTGCGTTGCTGTTGCTACGCATTTAACTACAACCTTGATGGAGGTGCCTGCATTACGAGATTATGTGATTTGCGTTTTTATCACAGAAACCCCAGCATTCTTGAATGCCGTGCTCCCACTCACCATCGCTTGATGGACTGATACAACGCAGAGACGCACTTCAGGTGAGCTGATGCTACCTACAAGGTGAAGGTCAATTAGGTGCCATAAACTGGCTGGACCGAAACCGTATGCACACACTTCGTGTTTCTCTCTTCACTTAAATTGAGGGACTTGTGTGGAATCCTAGTCGTTTGAATACTCAATTAATTTCTTACTGTGGGGCGAATTCACTACTGCAGTCGTAACCATCCACAAAAAGTCTGTAATTGTATCAATGAAGTAAATGCTTATATAGTTCCTTGAAACATGTCTAGCAATCGAGGCATTCTTGAGGAATTTAAGAATGAACACAGTGTGAGGTTTAGCATGGCAACAAGGTGCTCAGTAAACCCAGTATTTAGTAAGAAAAGGCGAAAACTTCTTGTCAAATATAAATTTATCTGTTACAGAGCCTTTGCCGCCCCTCTAGTTTTGCCCTTCAATTTCCCCTGTGTGTCGATTTCCATAAGACTTGAGATGGCAAAATAGGTTTTGATGTCAGTATCAGACCTTCATATTAATGACCCCAATAGATTCCGCGTGTTGCCCCACCCATATAGTGATTGTGGCAGATCATTAGCTTCGTGGTGCCCAAAAATAGACGACGTTCTGCAGCGAATGTAAAGAAAGAAAGAAAATTCCAGAGCGTGTTCTATGCTGTCCAATTACCAATCCGAACTTCATCCGGACTTCCTAAACTTGATTACTACCCCAATTCGTACCTTCTCTGTTTCCCTTTTCAGGCATTTTTGTATTGGTTGCATTTAAATAACTCAGCCCAGATTCACTTCTTTAGTTAATGCTTCATTCATTTTCTACTGATTACATAATCTTTGCCAGTACTACCATTGCAACCATTGTTAATGATAAGGAATGTCTTAATTGAGCCAAAATGGCGAAATAATTTCTCCCCTTTATGAAGGAAAATGCAGTTTCTACCATACATCCAATGCAAGTACTTCCCAGTTGTTCCTTCACATGGCATTGTTTGCTAATTTGACGATTTGTTTAGCTTCTCACTTTAGATTTGCAGGTAATTTAGGTTCGATTTTTGTTTGTTTGTTGAGCGGAATGGGCACAGGGCCATGCTAGTAGCCCCCTCTAGACCTTCTGTCCCTGGACAACACATTGGACTGCCTAAATTCATTCAGTCCTCATTGGAAAAGTTTTAGCCACTACCCCACTATTTGGATGGGAAAACGAAGTAGTACCATAGTCTATCATATTTAAGCACAGTGTTCTATTTGCTTGGGGGTTATCACCATTTGCATTGGCTCCTTCCCTTTAACCGTACACCGATCCCTATTAGTTCTGGTAACTACACGTTTGTTGGTCAAGCAAAATGCCATTTGCAATTTTTAACGTCATTCCCAAACTTGCATAAATGGCAGACTTGCCGACCACAATCTTCTCCATTCCAAATGATCAATTATGATTCAGTGAGGAGATGTGGATCCTTCCTACACCCTTAAACCATTTTTTTTCTGAAAGGTTAAAGAGTGCATAATAAATTAAATAGGATTGGTACAGCTTTCCTACAGAGGATAGCGCCTGTAAATCCTTGATACTCACATCTCCTAGGATTGCGATGCAGCAAAATTTAGTAGCCTGAGGCTAGTACAAGTCAGCAACTCCTCTTAGGCTTAATTTGCCATTCATGCAACGCATTCAATACTGCACGACTAGACCTCGTTTCTGTGAGAAGAGATTGCATTACTTTGTCCACTAACTACTTGTAGGCTAACTACCACAGGGTGGCTGTCCAAGTAGTGACATTCATATAGGTATCACTACATGGCAGTGAAAAGTACGGTGTTCGCAATGGTAGTCGCCCTCACACTATGTATCCCCTCACTTGGTTGTCCCCAGCTGAATGCTGCCTTGACAGCTGGTTTGATGTGTTGCTAATCACGTGGGTGTCAGCTGAGGAGGTATAGCACCTGGATGATTCATAGGCTGTGATTCATCGGCCGCAATTTTTATCATTTGACTTTACGTGTACAAGACTCATAGTGTAGCAAAATATAGAAAAGCGATTAGCAAATTTCAACTCCTGTGAATGATATTATTTTCACAGATTATTTATGCAAACGAAGGGGAAATCGCGAAAATGTGTGCCTTCTGTGACAAACTGCACTGCATGGAGAGGGGTGGCTTTTATTTTTTCTTACAATCTGCACTGGGGTAATAAATAGCAGATTCAACTCTACATTCAAATAAAATTTAACCGGTGTTTGTAACAAACTTACATCAGAGGACAAACTTTCTATGAACAGGTGGTGGAACATACTGATTTGCAGTGCCTAGATTGTTCGTTTAATGCCTCATCTGGTTTTGCAGACACTGAATGCTCCACCTTTGTACTTTTGCGTGGCGGTATAACCTTCGGATCGTGCCAGTACCCACTCCCAAGCCACTCTGTATGGTGATAGCACATATTCGCCATTGTATTATACCTTCTTTCGTTTTCAGGGCAGTCTCAAGAACTCTTACATATTACAAAATTTACATGACCACTTGTCAAATGGACTCGTGCATGAAAAGTTGGGTAAAAATGTCAAAAGTGGCACTGTTTTGGTATACAAGCCACAATAATCACGTGCAGATCGTATTACATAGATGTGTCAATGCTAGGTCAGAAAGCAAACAGGGCATATTGTGGTATCACACGCCGAAGAGCCAGCCGCAGTCGTTCACTGCTCCATATACCGAAGCTTCTGAACAATCTGGTTAGGTGCTTTCATGTGCAGTGACAAGTCCATTTATCACGATGATCATGGTAGGCGTTTAAATTCTCTTTCCCATTGCCCTTTGTTACCACACGGTTGTCTCTGGAGCATGCATCAAGCTCATGCCAATTATACCAGAGCATGGCAACACACGTATGCGTGCATCCATGGAATTTCACTAAATTATGCTAGTACGAATTTCATCGAAGCATGCTTATCCAAAGGCACAAAAATGGTGAACATTTGCATAAAGGGATTGTAGAATGCAGCCAAACGTATTTCTTTGACTCATAATTACACAGTTGTAAACAGAATTTTAACTTAACCGATTGACATAACTTTATGATTGCTTCCACCAATGATAGATTATACCTTTACTAAGTACTTCGCCACATAACTACATATGCTCAAGAAGAATTTTACTCAAAAGAACACATCAACTTATGACTACATGAATTTAGGACTTTGCTTAATCAAAAAAATATCGATATGTAATTTGACACAGTTTAATTCCCTTTTCCTCACACAAACTGTATCGGCATATGATTCCATGCATATATATATATATGCGTATACTCTCGCGAACATTACCTAAGCACAGTTGCCTATACATTCTCACACGAATTACTTTGACACCTGACTACACAAATATGCGCAAAATTTTGCCTAATCGAACATCATCGACGAGTAGGTTTTTATCTTATACTTTGTTATGCTTAATCGAATTCATTCGACTCAAAAATCGCACACACCTATGCATATATGCAAAATGCTTTAAGCAAGCAACATGGACAAACGATTACAAGTGTCTGTGCTCAAACCTGCCCGTAGAACGTTCATCAAAACATAGTAATATATATCTTTTTAGTTGTTTTTCTTTTGTTTTTTTCACAATGATCAAAATTTGTCCATGTTTGCACAAATATATACGTACTAAATTTTTCCCATGTAAATTGCATCCATACATGTACACGAATATTTTATTCAACTTCACTACAAAGGATTACATTTACACACACAATAACACATATTTCTGCATTCCCGACAACGTGTTCAGCCAATATTGTAAATATAAATTGCATTCACACATGTTCAAATGAGCATTTATTCAATTTCCTTTGAATGAATTTTACCCCCAGAAAATGCTTTAGTTGGTTTCTATTTTTTGTCTGTTTATGAAGTACACTTAACCCTTTGAATTAGTATGTAGTTCGATTCACCATGGATAGGTTTATATTTAATGGAAACCATTCGGCACATCTCGAAGATCTAATTTCCACGGTGTTCCAAGCCTTGTTTAAAATGGGCCACTTGACAAATCATGAGTGGGCATCCAGTTGGATGGAGCAAAATGCTTCGCTGTTTGATTGGGCCAACTTTCATTGCTGATGTAGATGGTGACAAAGCAAAGGGAATAAGTGTCAGGTAAGTTGAGACCGGTGAATACAAGTGTCTGCGACCTCAACATTTCAACCAGCATAGAATAGTTATAACATATCTAGAGGAATATCTGGCATTAAAATTAGTCCCCAAACTCCCTAATTCTGCAGAGAGTAACACAGAGGTAATACATTTGGGTGGAGTGATTTCGGATTCGCTACCTCGAGATAGCGTTCACTTGTATGGTAATACTTTCGAATTTGCGTGTTTTCATCGGGCCTGTTTTGAGAGTTACCATGACTTATTTGTAAAAAAATGGCCTGTTCAAAACTTTGTTGGCTTCAAGATGACCGACTTAAATATTTGCCAAAGGATACACTGTGACAGCCATCAAGTTCAAATAACAGGGTAAATTTGGATCCATTTGAGCTTCCAACTAGTCACTGGACATGTACTGAGTAAGCTCTTGAGACGTACTAGAGGGAACTAATCCTACCTTATCTCATCCACACGCTTGACGCAGTAGTGGGAATAGGGGATCATGAAGGGCTGTGTATAGCAGGGAGAGAGGAATTTACACGTTCTACTGTGCAACAAGTCCGAGTGTAGCAAAGTATCGACGCCAAATATGCAGTGTTGGTGAATTTGGGAGCAGCTTACATTCAAAATAAATGTCGAACAGGAACGTGCAAGTGATTCATGCTAACTAGTCGTATTGGCTGGATTCAAGGAAGGTGAGTGCTTGTACTTGAGCGTCATCAATCCCCTTCTTCCCAAGCTGCTGCAGTAAGCAGCAGGTATGACATTCATCATTCACGGTATGTAGCTTTGCTCTACTTTGTTGTTCGCAGGCGGAGTTCTGTCCCTCTCTTCTCTCGGACGCAAAAAGTGGGAAGAATCTGCAAATGCCCAATTTCTAAGGAATTCTGCTCTTTGTTCCACTCCATCTGAGATCACCCCAGGAACACTATCGTTATGCATAGGCACTGTGCCTATGCCCTCAGCGGACCGAAAATTTGAAGATTAGAGTAGCATATTGTAAGAGGTAGGATGTTTTGCTCAAGCATAATTTGTATGCACTCAATTCAAGTTCCTCATTAAAAGTTTGCCTATTGTTCCTTCTACATTCTCGCTAAGTTGGGATTACATCACCAAAATCCAAACAGTAGCGTAAGTTAGAAACTCGACACTTTGGAGGTAAACAGTGATTAGAATAAGCAAGGGCAAGTATTTCCTTGGGAGTGAATGAGATTAAACTAACTTGACATCCATCATTTCGTGTGCGATTATATTGGGGAAGAAGGAAGATGAATGGGAACACCATTGGTGCCTAACAAAAATAAATATGTTTTGGGATGTAAAGTGTATCGCAAGCTGCCATGGTGACAAAATATTTGGGAATTTTTGTCCATATGTGAGCATTTGTGAATAAACTATGTTAAATTTAAGCAAGGTTAAGTAGATATCTCAGCAAGAGGTGTTCTTTACCTTACCTCTGCACAACTTGTATGTATGTAAACATAAGTTTGGGTAATTAGCACTCCTAAGTGGTTTATTTTCCAGCTAATCAGATTAAATCAAGGACGAAACACTCTTCATGTAGTGAAAGAGGCAAACTTCTGAGTGCTTGGTGTCTCCTAACCTTCAGATGTAAGAATACTGCCTATGTTGCTGCCAATGCTGCAGTTTGAGGAGGAGACAATTCCACGTCTAACAAAGTGATAGCGGATACATTTAGTGATAGTGTTAATGATTGATTGAGAACCTCACTGAGCTACGAAGGCGGTCCAAGTGGGCAGTATAGTGGGACAAATCTCGGACTACTAATGTAACCCCCTTTGTTCACTTGCATGTGTCTGACTAATCACAGCACGACAGCTTTCCAAATACTGGGGCATATGCGGACAGTTAGTGGCATCTTGCGGTGGAATATGCTGTTGTTACGCCTTCCGGGAGCTCACAATCCATGATAGTAACAATGCTGTACTGACTACTTTCCAGTGATCATGTAACTTACTGACAGCAACTAATATGCTACTCTGTGTGGATTTGCTCTCATTTGGCTTTTTGGGGGCTTTTGAGTCACCGAACACGCTGTGATGGCTGACACGATGGGTCGAAATTGTGGGATTGCTAGCAAAGGCACATAAAAAAGGGGTGTTAAGTAATGCTATAATAGTCCATACAACTCTACTTTTGACTGTATGGGCACTTAAATTCCTGGTAATGGTCCATTCACTTGTTGTCATAGTTTTCGGGCCATACATCAGCTTCGTCTTACAGCCAAATGTTTTCTAGGCTTCAGTCACCAGTTTTGTAAATACATTGATGATATTCATTTTGCCCTCCAAGTAGGTGATCAGATATTTGCTAGCTATATTATATTCATAATTAGTGTAGAAAATTAGTGCATAAGAAAGGGAGCATTCGATCACTTTTTTAGTCTGACATATCTCCAAGGGGGTAACGGGTGAGTGACTGTAACACCCTCAGTTTTCCTCAAATCGTCATTAGCCATGTCGGTGAAAAGAACGGTTTATCATCAACGTACAGATAGGCTGACAGGCTATAGGTATGACCAGAGGGTTATGGCCCGGAGGGGAGGCGCAAATTTTGAGACACAGGTACCCACGTAGCTAAACACTTAACTAATCATATTTTTACAACATTAACTTCTCCAGTTGTAAAAATTTATCCTATAAGTAAGTGAAACCGGTTTGTTTCTAAAGGAAGCCATTTGCATGATGCTGACCAAAAGGGGAGAGGCTAAGGAGGCTGTAAAGCATAATTTGATTTTAGTGGGCAAGCATTTGCCGAAATAATATAGTAGAGTCTTTGGTCGTAAGGTTGATCCACCCTAAGGTTTCTTATTGCCACTGCTCACAACAACTTCGTAAAGATGACAGTTATTAAAATTCCTGTAAAGAAAATTTGCAGGCCAGATTCTACAAGCTAATCAACTTACACTATTCTACCATCAAAATGTGAGTAGTTCTGTTCGAAGTTACATGTAATGCTTTAAGACAATCACATAAATAAATTCTTCAGCTCAATGATTGTAAGCTCCCACGTGTATACAAACTGGAATGTGATATTATGTTGAAAGTATGGGTGGTAGAGTTACAGTGTTTGCCTCCGCCAAGAACACGAAAATTGATAGAATAGTCTGTTATTGCCATCTATGGTAATCTGATGTACTGTATTGTACTTAATAGGGCTTCATTTAGGCCCATCATTCAAAATGGGCATACTCCCCATTTTGGGTTTGAATGGAATGCATCAGTCAACACTGCTGAAAGTGTCCCAACACTGAAAAGATAGACGATGCCTCGGGGCGGAAGATTTCACAGTGTCATTGGTTAAATAATGCCTTTAATAACCTGTTTCTATGGGCTGTCTTTGTGCGACAACACGACCACATCAGTCAGAGCAAAAATATGTGAGGAGGATATGTATTTGCCAACTCGACATTAACTTCCCATTAGTAAAATTATGCTGTAAGTGCGTAAACTAACTACTACATTTCCGAACCACCATTAATTGGTTCAACAAATAAAAAGGCAGCAATGCATTTCACACGGTAAGCATTTACTGTGGACATCGAAGAAACTACATTGTTATCGAGGTGAAAAAAGAGGAAAGCCGATGTTTGTCTTCTTCAGCCACTTTCTTATGAGCGCTATGTACAATCGTCATTTTCACAGTTTTCATTAAGTAAATACCAACATCTAGAAGGGAGTTGATTTCTCTCAATGTCAACCGATTCGTGTTAAATAAGATTTCTGGATAATTTGGTATTAATTGAAGCAAAGCAGCCACTTTCTTCGGATCCGTCCACTTCAAAAACTGATGAAAGAGAGGTATTTTCAATCTCACCATTCGAAGCTCCTCCACTGTAAATAATGACCCCGTAGTTGCATCTGTTGATCGTACCTTTTCCGATTTATTAACTACACCGCCACGCTTGACATATTCTTGTATGATCTCGAGAGGCCTTTCAACAAGCATTGCATTTGCTTCATCGAGCTTTTTCGTGGCATTAAATATGTACGAATTAATGGTTTTTAGCAACGGCGGATCCAAATTAAACAAGATTCTTGATATGCCTGGTACAAAAGTACGCAGCTTAACCAGTTTCTTCGAACTAGACATTCTCAACACATTATCAATGAGGGGTATTTTTAATCGCACCAATTCAAGCTCCTCCTCTGGAAATATAGCCGCCTCAGTTGCAATAGCGATAGGTGTAACTTCAGAAACATTTTTTTCTAACTCAGACACGAGAGTCGTATTCCCTTGCGGAACAGTCGTAATTGGCTGCAAAGGTGCATACTCATCAAGATCAAGCCCAGAACCCCCTTTCTCTGGGTAAGGCATCTTCGACACT